ACAGGCTACTCTTGAAGAGAGAAATGCATGACTACCCTTCAGTCTTCCAAATGTGTGTCCCCATCCTATGCCAGAACCAAGTTCCCCAGAGGGCCACCTCCAGATTTGCTTTAGAAAGAAATAACCTGATTAAGCTATATGCCTTAAAATAGGACCATGTTGGTTTTCTTTGTGGTGGGCATTTTGTCTAATTGTCTAACTTACTGTAAAGAGAGAAGCAGAAGGAAATGTGGAAAAGAAAGAAGTCAAAGAAAGTGGGTAGGAAACCTCAGTGAAATGACAGGTATGAAGGGGAACCTGAGCGAGCCAGAACTCTGGGACAAGCATTCACCCCTGAAATCCCCACAGAACACACTGCCCTGCCCTCGTCCCAAATATTTGGGTGTTTGACCCAATACATGGAACAAGAAAATATCGCTGTTGTTTTAATGGGCTGCTTGCGTCATCGTGATTTGATAGAAGCTAAGGAAACCAGTCCAGGATCACAAACAGGAAGCTGTGATGCACATGCCTTGAAGAACTACCATTTGAGATGCAGTTTGTACTGACAGCCTTTTGGGTTTGACAGGTTGCCATGGCACCAGGGACCATGGAGGCCCCCCTGTGTCTGATAGAAAATAAGAACAAGCAGTTCCTGGTGAATCCAAGAGCCATCCATATTCTTAAAGCTATTTCTCAGCCTGTGGTGGTGGTGGCTATTGTGGGAATGTACCGCACAGGAAAATCATACCTGATGAACTGCCTGGCGGGTCAGAACCACGGTGAGTGCTTTCCTGGGCAGAGTGCAACTGTTCATCTCCTTATGCCTCAGGCAATTACTGTGCTAGAAAGCCAACCTATCTTAAGAGCAAAAGTAATTCTTAACTTTGAGCTAATTACAGTCATCCATTCCTTTTTCTTGTTTTTACTTCTGTTAACAATAGAGCTCGTGCTTCTCCTCGGGATCCCACACAACTTTCTCTTACCTGATGGCCGTAGTTGTATCTCTTCTCTTCTGAGAAGGGCTTTGTTTTCTGTGTGGAATGTGCCCAGCACATTAAGGTGACTTTGTTATCTAAAATGCAAGAATCCTCCTGGATTCAACATTATACCATGAGTACCCCATACCTCATTTACCAGTTTTGAAAGTAAAATTCTCTTCTTTCCATTCCTTGTCTATACCCTCATAACCTTTATATGTTTCAAGTCACCTAACTTCTATTTCATTTGAAAATTTAATTTACCCATTTATTTACATATGCATTTCTTTTCTGAGTCTAGTTTCAGATATCCCAGGCGGGCCTTGAACTCACTATGTAACTGAAGATGATGCTGAATTGATCCTCCGGCTCTACTTCCCTCCTCTCTATATATATGTATACATACATATATAATGTATGTATGTATAATATATATGTATATGTATGTATACATACACAATGTTCTCCTCTTCCCTTCAGGCTTCCCTCTAGGAGCCACAGTACAGTCTCAAACCAAGGGCATCTGGATGTGGTGTGTGCCTCACCCAACAAAGCCAAATCACACCCTGATCCTTCTAGACACTGAGGGTCTTGGAGATGTGGAAAAGGTGAGTCAACAGCGAGGGACAGATGAGATTACTCTTGATTTATCCTTTCATTTTAATAATCTCTTGCAGTTCAACCTATAGAATGCAGTCTTGCTGTCTAGAAACAAACTATAGAAGATGACTTGAACTTGATGCTTTTAACCACACTTCTATGAGAAAAAATATTGTGGCCTGTTAGATAAGGCATTCATTTCTTTTTCCGTATAGTGAATCCTTAGACGGCATTGAACAGCCGTCTTAGTTCTTTGGAATTTTAGCAGCTTGTCTTAGTTCTTTGGAATTGTTGCTGAGATGGTGGTGAAGAGAGGAAAGATTCTGCTCTGAACACGGGTCACATAGCCACATCTACCTGTTGGCCTTAATCTATTGCTATTGATGCATCAGTTTTTAAAGAAGTGGCCTCCCATGGGAGCAGACCCAGGGTGGGACTTTATTGGCATGGACATCTGGAATATAGCGGGAGAAAGAAAGGTGGAGGGAAATGGGCACATTCCCAAGCCTCATTCAGTTCCACAGAACCTATGTGTCAAAAATGATTCTTCTACCTTGAACTAGAACAATTCATAACTGGAAGTCTGCCATCGAGACCTTTCTCAACTCCAGGCTGACACCTGCATGAGGTCATTCATCAGCACGCCCAGGGCTTGAGGGTCAGTCCTCCCCAGAACATGGGCCTTCAGTGCCTTATCCCAAACGATAACTGTAAAGGGGCCCTAGAGAGCAGAGGGGCAACGATCCATCTGACAGTTTAAGGACAGACTCGGGAGTCACCTTCTGAGGTAGCAAGTGAACAGTGCATTTGGAAGTCAGCATTAAGTGAATGTGAATGGCATTTTCTAGGGATAATTACCACCCACACACAGAACGTTCACAAGGCTGGGAGGTTGTGTGTCCAAGATTTTATAACAGGAAACATTTTTAGATGAATTTTCAGATATCTGTACTTTATAAAATAGATTTGGTAAATATTTCTTGGCTTTATTTTCTTTTTTATCTTACTTTGAGACTGACTTATAAAGGAGATATACATTTCTATGGGTCTTTATATCTTCCCATAGTGGGGTTACGGATTCTATTTTTCTTTTGTACCATATACCAAACAAAGTTATCTTCCCAGTATTTAAGAATTTTATTCTTTAGCATAGTTTATACTTTTGATTTTCCTAACTAGTCACTTTTAAATTTTACTACATGGACAAATACATTTTTTTTTCCACCAAAACGTCCATGGAAAATTTCCTACCAATCAATTTTAGTTTTGCATTTGCTTAAGGGTTCAGGACTAAGTTTTATATACTATTCACAGAATATAAAATTCTAGATTGTGCTACAATTTAGACAGTGATATAATTTACATATGCAAGATAGCCTGAATTTTAAGGTCCTTTGTAATCTTGCCCAGAGTCTGCCATCCAACCTTCTACCCCTGCAGTAGCAAACAAAGTGATGTAGTGCTGACTGGGAGGATTTCAACAGTGTAGTTTATGACAGTGTTTCTATCTAGAAGATGCTGGCTTCTACCTTCATGACAGCATCAGTTCATTGTGTCCTTACTCCACTAAGTCCTTAGAACTTAGTGGCAGGCTCTCAGAACATCTTAGCATGTACTCTTTCCACTGTCTAAATTAATGCTTTTTCCTTATACCTATATTCAATTTGATATGGCAAGGCCACACAACCCTCTTATCTGTTATTAACAGAAGAGCTCACCTTTGTTGAATGAATCTTAGAAATTTGCCATTGTCATTACTTTCAATTAGTTGTCCATGGTGTATCAAGATGGTTATAAGGTATTTGACCCCGTTGTGAAACTCAAGATTGTGAACTGTAAAACTCTGTTTCTTGTTTGGCATGGTTCAGCCCTAACACACACCTTTAATCCAATAACTTTCTGATTATTGTAAACAGGTGATTATGGGGTGGCTCAGCCCTACCACATACCTTTAATCTAAGAGCTTTCTGTACACAGGAATTAATAAAGATAACACTAGGTCAAGAGGGAGAGCAAGAAACCTGCTGACAGGGTTTATGTAGAAAGGAGGAGCATTGAATTGTAGGGTATTTCAGATGGCATGGAAAGAAGAAAGAGCTCTTTAGCTACTTGGGTTTTTTGACTTTTTGGCTTTTGCTCTTGTCTTTTTTGTCCTGGGCTATTGGGTGGGTTAGCAGACCTTTTCCTTCTGGGATATCAGCTGAGCTAGCAGGCTTTTGGCTTTTTCCATCTGGGTAATGAGCTGAGCAAGAAAGGCTTTTCCCATCAATATGTGTGCTAAGTAGCAAGGTCAGCTGGGTGCTTTCTCTGCCTCTCTCAGCTAGCAGGTTTTCACCCCAGCATCTGGCTCCTAAGCCTTCATCGGTAAAATCAAAAGATTTGGGATTTTCATTCTTTATAACAGAGGACAGCATGAAATATCTAGTTGGCATGGATAATAGCTTGTTATCTTCAACTGGGTATAATTGTAGTCCTCAGTTGTGTCAAGCCTATGTATGGCATAAAGATGGTACAAGGCTCAAATATATGGTGAAATAATAAATGCTAGCAACTTCCCCTGAACATCTAATTTTACCCTAGATATCATGTTGGGTTTTTCCATACACAGTATGTTAATCTATCTCATTGTTAAAAAAAAGAAGAAAACATTGTAAAGAAAATATCATTTAAATTCTATCATCATGAAGATGTAATTACAAAAACTTCCAATGCAATAGTTAAAGCTGAAATGTGTGCTCATGTCCTTAGAACTTGTTCCTCTGCAGAACTATTAGATTATTTGAAATAATAGGCAAAAGTCCAAGAGAACAAAGATTTGGATGAGCTTTAAATGGGACTTAAGGAAAGAGATAACCCCAAAGACGCTTTCCCATTTGCCTTCTAGGGTGACCCTAAGAATGATGCCTGGATCTTTGCCCTGGCCGTGCTTCTCAGTAGCACTTTTGTCTACAACAGCATGAGCACCATCAACAATGATTCCCTGGAGAAGCTGCAGTATCCTTCAATGAGCCAAGGATCTGTCTTCCATTGAGGAACTTTTGGGGATGAGACTTTGGCGTGGCTGAGTTGCTATCGGTGAATCAAATAGGACAGAAAAATAAAATAAAATGTTTACACTTAATTTTTTAATTAAAGAAATTGTGATTTAGGGTTCCCTTTCCTTAGCTGAGTCCTGGTTATGTGACAAAACTCACAGAGCTCATCAGAGCAAAGTCCTCCCCGAGATCTGATGGCATAAAAGATGCTGGAGAGTTTGTGAGTTTTTTTCCAGACTTTATCTGGACTGTACGGGACTTCACCCTGGAACTGAAGTTGGATGGCCACTGCATCACAGAAGATCAGTACCTGGAGAATGCCCTGAAGCTGGTTCCAGGTATCAGAGCCTAAACTGGGTACAGGGTATGTTAGTAAGGGCTGTGGTCCACTGAGTCCTGACTGTCATGTCTGGAGGAACTTGGGCCTTTGAGGCTAGACTGAAGTCCATAGAAATGGCAACTGGGAATTGGGTAGAAATGCATATGGTTACCTAAGCAAGGATACTTAAATTCAAGTTGTGCTTTACCCATGATGGACGTTAGTATCAGACAGGAAAAGTGGGGAAGTTTTGAAGACCAAGCACGGCTGTCTGCCCCCTTGCCTTCCACTTTTGTTAATGAAGACAATTAGAGTCTGATTAGTTAGACACAAAATCTCAATAAAAAGCTGCCTGTTGAAATAATCTGTTTAACATACAAATTCTAATTTTTCCAAAGTAGCAATACAACTTTCTAAAACTTGTATTAGTATATTCTCCATAAATGATCTTATTTTTTAAGTAAACATGATGAAAACTGTCTCCTCAACCTATGCCTTTTAGCTTTTCACTATTTCTACAACCTATCAAAACAGTATTCTACCATCTGCATTGTGGCTTCCACCTCAACACAGTTTTTGTTATCATTTCAAGAAATAATCGCAGTGCGTTACATCTGCACAGCTATGTGACTGATGAAAATTTTAGAGAAACAGCAATTCCCCTTCATTTCTTTTCTTTTCCATTCTTGCATTTAGCAAACATTTTCAAGCTATTGTTTAAGGCCAAGCAGGACCAATCACATCATTTTCTATAAAGTCTTAATCTCAGAGTTAAAAGAGAAGTGCAGCATCTTCACATTAGTCTTTAAAGTAGCAGCGACATTCTAAGTATTCTTCGGATGTTTGCACTATAAAATATCTTAAAATGTTAAAACGCATTTTGCTAACGTAGTGGTATTGTCATGAATACTCTTTCCAACTTTCTCTCTTTTCAAATTGTGCATGAAATCAAAATATGATAGATTTACATTTCACTTTTTAATCAATAAGGCACTCATTCATTTAACCATCTTAAGAACAAAACAAAACAAAACAACAACAACAAAACATTTATTGCCCCAAACTGCATCCAGGCTTAAAATGTTTTAAAACTAGCATCAATTTCAGTCTCAAATATCTGCATAGATATGTCTTTGGTTCAAGGATGACTTGCAAAGAAATATGGGTCATCAATTTTTTTTAAATTCTTTATTAATTACACTTTATTTACTTTGTATTCCCCCTGTGGTTCCTTCCCTCCTCCAGTCCCAATTCCTCCCCTGCTCCACCCTCTGCATGCATGCCCCTCTCCAAGTCCACTGATAGGGGAGGACTTCTTTTCCTTCCTTCTGATCCTAGTCAATTAGGTCTCATCAGGAGTGGCTGCAGTGTCTTCTTATGTGGCCTGGTAATGCTGCTTACCCATCAGGGGGAGGTAATTAAAGAGCAGGCCAATCATTTCATGTCAGAGACAGTCCCTGTTCCTATTACAATGGAACCCACTTGGATACTGAACTGCCATGGGCTACATCTGCGCAGGGCTCTTAGATTATTTCCATGCATAGTTCTTGGTTGGAGTATTAGTCACAGGAAAGACCCCTGTGCTCAGATTTTTTGGTTCTGTTGCTCTTCTTGTGGAGTTTCTGTCCTCTCCAGATCTTACTGTTTCTCACTTCTTTCCTAAGATTCCCTGCACTCTGCCCAAAGGTTGCCCATAAGTCTCAGCATCTGCATTGATAGTCTGCAGGACAGAACCTTTCAGAGGTCCTCTGTGTAAGGCTCCTGACTTGTTCCATCTTTTCTCCTTCTTCTGATGTTCATCCTCTTTGCCTTTCTGGATAGGAATTGAACATTTTAGCAAGAGTCCTCCCTCTTGATTAGTTTCTTTAGGTGTACAGATTTTAGTAGGTTTATCCTATATTATATGTCTATATGAGTGAGTATATACCATGTGTGTCTTTCTGCTTCTGGGATAGCTCACTCAGGATGATCTTTTCCAGGTCCCACCATTTACCTGCAAATTTCATGATTTCCTTGTTTTTTATTGTTGAGTAATATTAATTGTGTAAATATACCACAATTTCTGCATCCATTCTTCAGTTGAGGGGCATCTGGAATGTTTCCAGCTTCTGGCTATTACAAATAAAGCTGCTACAAACATGGTTGAGCAAATGTCCTTATTGTGTACTTAAGACTCTTTTGGGTATATGCCTAGGAGTGGTATAGCTAGATCTTGAGGCAGCGCTATTCCTGGTTGTCTGAGAAAGAACCAGATTGCTTTCCAGAGTGGTTGTACAAGT